GTTTTAGGATCCTCATCTAATAGAAAAATTTGAGCTATAGGATCTGAAATGAAGTCTAAATCATTTATCTCAGAAATAAAGGAAGTAATAAAGTCTGGTCCAAAAGAGGTTTCAACTCTTTGCCTTTTACTTCTTCTAGGCTCAAAATCAATTTGTTCAGAAGACCTAGCAGGTTTACTAGAAGAAGTTGATGGAATATATTCTATTTGTGTTTCAATATTTATTCTCGGTTCCTTTAAAGGAAAAGTATTTTCAAAGAAAACAGCATCTCTTGATTCACAAATAGAATAATCTTGTAAAAGCATGAATCTGTATGCAGCACTATTCGTAGCATACCCTATAAACACTGCATCAACGGTTTTAGGTCCGATGGTGGACTTCTTAAAGTCTGGCAAGCCCACTTTAGCCAGACACCCCCACACTTTCAGGTATTGTAAATTAGGAGCGTATCCTTTCCACAATTCATATGGGGTAGAATCTAATTTCTTATGAGGAACTCGGTTCAAGATATGAGTTGCCGATAGAATGGCCTCCCCCCACATGTTATCAGATAACCCAGAACTTATTAGTAAAGAATTCATCATCTCTTTTAAAGTTCTATTTTCCTTTCGGCTATACCATTCTGTTGAGGAAAATAGGGGGCTGATGTTTCATGAATTATGCCATTCTTTTCACAAATATCTTTTAAGAAATTAGATCCATATTCACCACCTCTATCAGATCTAACTCGTTTGATTCTCCTATCTAACTGATTTTCAACTTCTGCCTTATAAATAAGAAAGAAGTTTTCAGCTTCATCTTTAGTTCTTAGGAGATAAACTTTTGTATATCTTGAATAATCATCTACAAAAGTTATGTAGTAGTGTTTTCCTCCTTTACTTTCAGTGTTTCTAAAATCTGCTAGATCAGTATGAATGAGTTCTAACAGTTCAGTCTTTCTATTAGAAACAGTCTTAAAGTGAGGTTTAGTATGCTTAGCTTCTACACAAATCTCACATTTGTTAAAGCTAGTTGTGTCTAGTTTAGGCAGAACATTCATATTCATTAATTTCTTTAAAGCATGAATATTCACGTGTCCTAATCTAGCATGCCACATATCAATGGATTCAACAATATAAGCAGAAGTGGTAGCTTTATTTTCATTAAATTGAGTTTCTATGACAAATAAACCATTGCTTAAAAACCCTTTCCCCACATAATCACCATTTCGGGAAAGTACAAGTTTATCTGCCTCAAAAACTAACTTAATGCCTGCCTTATTCAGAAGCCCACCACTTATCAAATTTCTACGCAAGGCAGGTACATACAGAACATTATTTAAAGCCAGAGTTTTACCAGAAGTCAGCTTGAGTAAAACCTTGCCTTTGCCTAGCACTTCAGAGCTGCTAGAGTTCCCCATGTACATACGTTCACCAGTGTTTCCATCCTCGAACTCAGTGAAAAACTCCTTCCTTGCGCAGAAATGCTTCGAAGCGCCAGTGTCAACTACCCATTCTGAACTGTTCTCCACCAGATTAACTTCTGAGACCACCGCAGCAATGATCTCATCATCTTCTTCTACAACGTGCATCTGTGGCTTGTTGTCATTCTGGCGGTCTGAGCGGTGTTGGCATTGGTAAGCCTTGTGGCCAGGTAAACCGCAGACATAACACTTGAACGTCTTTCCTTCCGGTTTGGCCTTTCCTGACTTCTTGAAGTTGGTAGCCTTCTGTGGTTTCGTCTTTTGTCTTGATTCCCACGTTTCATGATCTTCTTAAATTTGGACTCAACCAAGTTAGCTCTAAAAGATAAATTACTCATAGAATTAGTAAGCTTATCTTTTAAACGGTTGGCTTCTTCAATCTTCATATGACCCACAAGTTCTTCAAGCGAAATGTCTCTCTTCTTATGCTTAAGAGAGTTACGGTAATCGGACCAGGACTTGGGCAGTTTCTCAATGAGTACATTGGCTTGCAGCACCTCACACATTTGCATCCCTTCAGCGATGATGTCAGCGACTAAGTTCTCATAGTCATGGACTTGATCCATTATTGGCTTGTCGTCTGTCATCTGGAATTTGAGCCATTCGCCGACAACGTACTTCTTGATCCCCGCATCATCCGCACCATACTTCTTGTCGAGAGTGTCCCATATTGCCTTGGCACTCTTTTCTCTAAGGAACATATCAAATAGTTTATTTGACATGTGGCTGAGCAGATGTCCTCGTACCGTCTTGTTATCCATCTCGAATTTCTCGTAGGTAGCGAGAGCGGCGGCGGCAGTTGCTAAGGCATCATCATTGAGGACCGCATCAGCATCATTACCAACAGCTGGGGTTGGCGGCATGGTAGGTGGTGGCTTGAGCAACACGTAATCAAGATCAAGTTGCTCGAAGAATATAAGAATTCTTTGGGACCACCTTCTATAGTTCTTTCCATCAAGTGCATCGAGCTTGGAAAGATCGGGAATGAGTTTGCTCAAAGGTGTCGACATGATTGCAGTTTATGGGAATTCGTTTCTAAATTGTTGGATATATGAACTGCAAAACTACACCGTTAGCACTGACTGAAAATATAAACAGTAATTAAGAAGAACAGATTCGTAAACCGTGTCGTGGTAAGAACCACTGCCTTAGAAACGAATTCGCCTCGATGTGTGTAATCGCTGCAGTAGGCGGACCGTCCCCCGAGGTTAACACGGTCGCTCCGAATTCCGTACACCCGAAACCGGAGTGGACTGCTGGTGGTATTGCACTTCTGATCGGAAAGCACTCAGAGAGAACTCACAGAGAGAACTTTAGAAAACACTTTGGTAAGTGAATTGTGAATGTTTTGGAGTGAGTTGAGAAGCTGAATATAGCTCTCTATTTATAGGCTAGAAATAGGGTTAAAGTCGTCCATAAAATTTCAGGATTAAACCTCTTATTTGTAACAGCTGAAATGACTAGATGAACCTGACTCAGAAATAGTCCAGGTTCATTGTATCATTATTCAGCTGTTATAACTCCCGAAATTATATCATGTAACCCCTGGAATTAAATCAAATAACTCCTGTAACTCCTGATATTAACAGCTTGTCTCCTCTGTACAAAGCTGTAAATCAGTCCAGGTACATCTTAACGTTTCTGATTTAATTTAGGAATAAACTGTTTAATTTCTGATAAAAAATAATTCAGCTGTTATTATTTGAAATTCAAACAGTCCTCAGCAGCCTATAAATATCAGTTGATATCTTTCACATTTTCCATTTGTTTCTTTCAAAGAGAAATTCCTCAAGAATTTTCTCTAAAAAGATAGTATCCGCGCGGACGTGTCGAAGACACGTATTACCACGACCACGACCACGACCACGACCACGACCTCGACCTCGACCACGACCACGACCACGAGCCGAGCCGAGCCGAGCCGTGCCGTGCCGTGCCGAGCCGAGCCGAGACGAGACGGACGGAAGGCGGCGGCGGTGCGCGAGAGCCCCCCTTGTTCTCTATCACTCAACAAGGAAGTGGAATGTCAAGCCTTAAATACCATTCCCAATAGTGTTTCCAACACTATGTGGGATTGAGCATTACCAACATTCCCCCACTAATGCGAAAGAAATCTTCTGAAACTCGAAAACAAGCTTTCCAGAAGAGTAATAGCGAGATTAGTTGCTTAAGCACTAGTGAACATATCTGGAACTAGTACATAGTGATGATGAGCAATCCTTCTCTTAGATAAGTGAAACTAGTCTGGAACTTTCTAAGATCAGGGTAAACTCATAACACACAACTAACCCCTTCATCCACCTGAGTCCTCGATGTGTAAGATATATATATACAAAAGTATATATTTGGCCATCTTACCTCAGGATTCTAGTAAGTGTGCTAGAAAAATAGCCCAACATTTTTCATAGAAGGCGGCTAACCCTTCTCACTTACATAGGTTATTTCATCAAGTTTATCTCAACATAAACCACCCTTTAAAAAGGAATATGAAATAATTAAGAGCTTTTATAATAGCTCAACCTCACAAAGGGTATGGTGACTTTTTTTCAAGTTCATTATAAATGAACCACCCAAACTCTGGGCTAAGAAGTCATTAAGAATAAATATTCAACCTCATTTATCGGTAAATTCAATAAGTCCTTCTCACTAGAACCATCCAAATACTTGGATTTGAATTTATTAAGAGTTTAACAAACTCAACCTTTCTGTCGGTAAGTTCATCATTTGAATATAGCTCTCTATTTATAGGCTAGAAATAGGGTTAAAGTCGTCCATAAAATTTCAGGATTAAACCTCTTATTTGTAACAGCTGAAATGACTAGATGAACCTGACTCAGAAATAGTCCAGGTTCATTGTATCATTATTCAGCTGTTATAACTCCCGAAATTATATCATGTAACCCCTGGAATTAAATCAAATAACTCCTGTAACTCCTGATATTAACAGCTTGTTTCCTCTGTACAAAGCTGTAAATCAGTCCAGGTACATCTTAACGTTTCTGATTTAATTTAGGAATAAACTGTTTAATTTCTGATAAAAAATAATTCAGCTGTTATTATTTGAAATTCAAACAGTCCTCAGCAGCCTATAAATATCAGTTGATATCTTTCACATTTTCCATTTGTTTCTTTCAAAGAGAAATTCCTCAAGAATTTTCTCTAAAAAGATAGTATCCGCGCGGACGTGTCGAAGACACGTATTACCATTACCATTACCATTACCATTACCATTACCATTACCATTACCACGACCACGACCACGACCACGACCACGACCACGACCACGACCACGACCTCGACCACGACCACGACCACGACCACGACCACGACCACGACCACGACCACGAGCCGAGCCGAGCCGAGCCGAGCCGTGCCGAGCCGAGCCGAGCCGAGACGAGACGGACGGACGGCGGCGGCGGTGCGCGAGAGCCCCCCTTGTTCTCTATCACTCAACAAGGAAGTGGAATGTCAAGCCTTAAATACCATTCCCAATAGTATTTCCAACACTATATGGGATTGAGCATTACCAACAAAGAAGACGTTCAAAATTTCATCGCTAAACAGGTACGATATCCAAACAAACTGACGATTTACACTTGATACCTTTAAGTTCATGTTTACTATTTCCCGAAATAGTAAGGCCTTGATTATTTTTCTCCTACACAGGTGGCACCTTTCAAAAGGTTAAGGAAGGTGACGTTCATATACAGTGTCCCAAAGTCGGCTTCAGGGAAAATTCTGAGGAGAGAACTTATCGCCAAAGTACGATCCAAAATGTGAGATTCTGTTTTATGCACATAACTATTGGATATCGACTTAATGTTTCATTACTTAAAGGGTCATTTTGTTTTTGAAATAAACTTAAATCAGTAATGTTATTTTTACTTTTAAATTATACCAATTTTACACTTAAAGTCACCATATTCATAATTTTTTCCCTGGCATTAACTACATTAGAAGATCTATATATCTATAATGTTGTAATTTATATCCTAAATTTGGGATTTGGCATTATGGTTATATTATTTGTTGTCACCCGTGTTAGCATCTAATTAGATAATTAATTCATTGAATTAAATTAAAAATAAGATCAAATTGATATAATGTATAAATAATGAGGATCAAATGTGTAATCATATTAATTTTATTAACTACCATATAATTTCTTTGTCATCAAATATTAATGATATAATTTGATTGGTATCGTTTATATAATTAAATAATTTGATTGATAAAATTAAAAGTACAACGATTAGATTAAATTATTTTATAATTAAGTGGTTACGAATATAATTTATTTATTTTAATTACTTTTGATCGACTTTCTTTCATTGTCACTATCATCAACAAGAGATCTTTAATGTTTACAAAACCAAAATTTTAAGGAGTTATAATAAGAGGATTGTAGAATCGTTCATCAATCGGTCGAGCAATAACGAAATTAAAAATAATCGTGAATCGGTGGACGGAACAACACCAAAAAAAATTAGGATGTAGTAGTAAAAATTAAAAAAAAAATATTATTTTATTTTTTAGAGCTATAGTACACATTTGAGAGACATCATAGTCTATTATGAACTCCACATTACCTTGTTTTTATGATGGATTCATTAAATAGAAAATTAAAAATTAAATCAATTTAAGTTTTAGAATATTAATGATGTTATGCACATAATATGTGACATATGACACTAATATGACCACGTGTGTATTAAATATAGATAGGAGGCCAATAAATTAGACTAAAATGTTTTAACGTGAACATAGACGGGATCCCATGGAATTTGTTTGTCTTTTAGCAATAGCATATGTTGTGATGAATGAAAAGCCAGACGAATCTTCTATATCATACCCTGTTATCCTTGAAGTGTCTATTCTGCTATTAAATATAACAATACGTGATATAAAGAGCATCACGAATAGTAAACAAATGGCGTTTGTAGTCCAACGGTTAGGATAATTGCCTTCCAAGCAATAGACCCGGGTTCGACTCCCGGCAGACGCATTAATCAGTTTTTGTTATCTTTGCGTAGTGAGCTTAAAATTTTGATGAAATCATTTGAAAAGTAGTTAATGTTGGCATCCATCCCGTGTGATTGAGAGAATTTTGTTTTAATAATGGGTGACTATATGCCAAGATTATGTGTGAATCTACTAATCCAAAAAAAATAATAATAAAATTCCTTTTACTAATTGAAATCTTATAATTAAATGTGAATACATAATATACTTTATTAAATAACAATTCAATCAATCAAATAAGATAATAAATTAATCAAATTTGAATGAATAATTTTTTTACACGTTTGTTTATTTATTTATAAATTCATTCATACTTAATTCTTATTTATTAAAAATTTTAAAATTATATTTGTTTATTAAAATTTTTAGGATATATATTTGTATTTGTACGTTTAGTAACTACATGCAAACATATTTACACATACGTGCATGAACATATAATCATGGGCATAACTAGATAGGAGAGTGTGAGATCAATTGACCACACCACACAAAATAATAAGCTTGTAGGTTAACCTTAGTCCATAAATGGAAACTCAAAATGAAATGAAGATCCGATGAGAACAAAATGATTAAACCAGATATTGTCTACCTTAGAAGAACTAGTAGGTTCCCATATAAACATTTCCCCCTTAAAAGGGTCCTACATTAGATAGGAAGACCAAGGCTCTAATCCAATGAACATGATAAAACAAAAATCAAAAGCATTACTTAACAATTCCAACATGATTTTTAAATATAGGCAGCATATTGCATTAAAAAAATCGGCATTCAAGAAAATTGGTAAAGAAATCAGCCTATCCAGCAATAACAACCTTCTTGATTGCAACCGAGAAAAGGAGTGTCTCTATTTACATTGCAAGGTTTAGAAAATGGAGTCTACCAGTCCCCTTCACGCATTAAATTATTGCTATTCACCTACCGGGGGAGGAAAAATATTGAGACGCTTATCAGAATTCCTCAATCATCCTCACCATTGTCTTCGTTATTAGTTTGATTGTGGTTTTGAGCATTATACATCTCAGCCACCTGCAAATATTCACCTGCTCTGATGATGTAGCTTGCTCTGGTGTCTTATCTTCTAGAACACAAACTAAACGAAGAATCCGGATAGATATACCCTTTTACCAAGAATAATTAGGAATTAGATGAATTCATTTTCTACTAACAGAGAAGTTTGATAAACACAACAGTTGCAGGATCGAAACTAATAATCCGCCCACCTCCAGAATTCAGAAATCAAATCATACATACAGGACATTGAGAAATAAATTAAAATGAATAAATAACACTAAAAGACTTCCAACACGTGACAACTTTTATCCCACCTTAGCAGGATCCGCAATCCCAATAGCAGCACAATGAACAGGGCTAATGGTCAAGTCTGCAAATTTTACCTCCCAAACCTGCAAGAAGTTCGAAAGGAGATTTTAAAAAGAAAGGAACCACTGAAATGAATACCAATAGCCTAAAGCAAATACAATCAGTTATTGAATGCAAAAAGGAGATTAGCAAGGTAGTTGCAACGATAATATAGGAACACAAAATCTGGAATATAATTCTTAAACCATTTAGGATCTAGAAAATGTTTGAACTTTTGTAGGACACAACAATAATCATCTCAATCGATTCAACAGAAACCATTTAATTTTTTAATGGGAGACAAAAACTACTGATATTCTATAGAGGAATATTCAGAAACCCAGATTTCAACAAATAGAAGCAAGTACACAATGAGAAAAGAATTTACTAAAGTCCAGGGAATTCAGTTTATAACTATTTCAAACGGTAACAAGAAATGGATCATTGAAGAACAAAAAGCACACTCTACAAACAGGACATGGATGGAGGCAGACAGGATGAATAGTGAACATTGAGCAAAAAATGTGATAACAAATAATGCAAGCATGCACCATGCACCATGCAAAAGAATACTGTAATTGAGAAAGTTCGCCACTCTGATCTAGACTGAGAATTCATTGCGACTGTTTATGACATATTACATGCATAGGAATGGTGCTTTGCTCAATCAGATTAGAGACTAAAGGCACACTTCCCACCAACCATACTATGGAATAGGCTTGAATGTGATCCTAATAAAGCTGTGGCAAGCAGCAAACTCCCAACCAATTGACCAAACCATTCCTTACCTCATTTGATGCATCATGCAAGCCTATTCCTTCCACTAAATAACAGTTTTGTCCATTACAGGAACATAGACATCATGGAACATGCACAAACATCCAAAAAATAATCATAGTGTAATTTTACCTCTGAAGCCTCAAACCATACATCTGGCTTTATCTCACAACGATAGTATGACTGTAACCAATAAGAAAATCGGAATTTTTATGCTTATCAAAAGATAGATTTGCTCACAATTTCCTTTCTTACAACAAAAGACAAACCTTTGGTTCAGGAATCATTTTTGAGCAGAGACTGGCAGAACATTCTTCAAGTTGTGCTTCAGAAAATCCTGTACCTATTGAGCATCAAAGAGAAAAGAAAAAAGGAAGGTTGGACAGCAATCATCAGCTGGAAAGACAACCAATATGTTGAAAAGTTGCAATTCAAGTTTCACCAACCAATTTTACATATACTCTGGAACTCTTCATTACTGTCATCATAACATGCCAAGAGAAAGGCACCCAATAGACACCTAAGGATATAAGGCACCAATAGACACCTAAGGATATAAGGCACCAATTACAGAAAGCATCACAGAAAAACTAAGATGGAAGCAGAAACAATCAGCATAAGATAAACTCTATATGAGCACCAGTCATCAGATATGATATGTAAACAAAAAGGATTACCAGTCCGTTTACCACGGCCATGGAAAGCAGCAATAGGTACTAGATCTAATGTGTCTCCGATACTACATGGAAAAGAGGAACATTAAAAGTTGCATATGCACAAAATCATACCTAATCGTAATTTGCCCCAAGAAGAAAACATATCTAACATCTTACCTTTCCATGTAATCTTTCTTCAATTTTAGCCAGTTCAGTGACCGCTTTGACGGCTCGTATGTAGCATCTCTATCCAATGTTTTGATAATTAAATCCTCACAACTGAAAACTAAGACTAATTAGCATCAATAATATTTCCCTGATTTTCTTTTACAATATTTATTGGGCTCATTCCAGCTGCCAGATAAAAGTTTCCGGAAGAATTAAACAAATACCTTGAAGAAACAGCAGAATTAAGGAAAGCTTGAATCTCCTCAAGATCATTTGATGTTAAGGCTGTTGCAAACTGAAATAATCCAGCTTCTTCCTCAAATGAGTCATAAAGCCTCTGCAAAGGGCAAATAGGAAGAAAACCCTGGTGAATTGAATAGGGCACATGATATGCAGTGAATGAGATAAACACCTCCTCAACACAAATAACACTCCCAATCAGTTTCTTAACCATGAAGGCCAGTCTCCTTGTCACAAATCTTCATCGTGAGTTCTTGGTAATGCTAATACTAATACAATTGAAATTTTGGCATTTGAGATAAAGATGATATAAGCAGTTTACCAATGATATACATTGTTGTAGTGATAGAATCACTTTATAAATCTTGACAAAAATAATTTTTATTGCCAAGAGTTCCAGAACCAAATGTGTTGTAGCTTAACCCATACCTCTCTACGAACTTTAAGTTGTTCATGAAGAAGCGATTTCCCGTTAATATATAAGATGTCAAAAGCATATATGCACACATCAACTTTGATTTCACTCTCAACCACATTTTTCTGTGCTCTTGTACTAAGGATCTGCATATCAGAAAAC